GGAAAAACAGGGTTCCCCCCCCCCCCCGGAACCCCCTGCCTGATGGTTTGCATGGTGGATTCACCCCCGCGCCCTCCCACCCCCCCCCTTGCCCTGCGCCTTTGAGCCGTTGTGTTCCCATCGAACCCGTTATTTTCTGTCTCGCCTGTCATCCGTTCTCTGCACCGACTGGCACCCGCACCCATCACCCACTCACTCACTCTTGCTTGTCACAACAATACATACGGTGTAGTTTTTTTTTTTTTTTCTTAATATGACACAACGAATCCATCTCTATCATAGTCTGAGACAGATTATTATTATTTTCGTCTAAAATAGTCTAGGTGGTCAATCAATATTAGCCGCGCGTCAGTATTATTGCCTTCGCAGGAGTTGTTGTATTAAACAAACATGGTGGACAAAGCATACAGTCGGGGAAGTTGGGTTAGGATTTGGGTTAGGGAATAGGGTCTGCGTCTCTCCTCCCTGTTCTATTTCCTTATTATACTGTAAATACTAAATTTCCCGCGAAGAAGGCGGTGTCCCCTCTCGCGTCACGTTGTTGCTGTGTTGCTCCATGCGCATCCCGAATTTTGGTTTCCTACAAAAAAAGACCCCAAGAGTAGGCACAAGGCAATGCTTCCACCTGACGAGCTTTCTCTCCCTCTTGGCCTTCATGTGTTTCTCTGGTAGTTCCCCTTACGGTGATAAATTACTTCGAAGTACGAAAGATGTGGATAATCTGGACTCTGGAGTAAAATTTTTTCAGCATGGATTGAATGGATCGATGGTCGCGTCCTCTTCTTGTACCAGGTATTTTGAAACACCCCACCGCAACAATGCAAAGGGAGATAGGATGTGGCATGGCATCGGCTCCGATTTAATGTGCAGGTGGCCCAGTCCAACCGCAGGTGACAATGGCTAGGCATTGAGGCTAGGCACTGTGGGTGGTCAAGGCAGAAGGGCCTTTTGAAGGACCGGGGCAGGGGAGGAGGCTGGGGGGGGGGTTAAATGCTTGGCCGTTGCAGTGTGGCAGTTGGGGTATACCCATGATTTTGCGATGCCCCTAAGGATCCGGCTGCCTCTCGGCTCAGCTTTCCCGCCATATTTGCGCTATCTGCTCTCTCTTCCTCGATCTCGTGCCTGCTTGCCGTTCAATAGTTGAGGGTACGTGTGCTTCTGTTTCTGCATCGTTTTGCCAGAGCGCTAAGCTGCCTTTCACGCTGGGTCTTTTCTGAAGCCAACTTGCGAATCTCCCCAGAGAGAGGCTCAACGGCTCATCTCCAGCACAGCAAAAAAGACCCGAAGGTCTAATCATCATGGACGCACGATCCGGCTCCCAGCTCGCCCTCGCCGAGTCGCAGAACATCCAGCAGGTTGATCAGGTGAGAGCTGGTGTTTCTTGACAGCAGGAGCGTGTGTTGCATACCCACCCACAATCTGCTGGACGACGTGTGGCGGTCTGTGTTTGAAGCTGGGAGTGTTCCACTTTTTTTTGCGCCAAAAACACACGAGACACATGGAAACACAAACGGCCATTTTTTGTCGGGTATGGTTGATCTGTTGGCATGTGACGAGAGACGACTCAACGACATGAGGGGTCAACATGAACAACCGCTGCTGCAGGCATCTAGACAGCCGAGCTGTACAATATTCTACCAAGACAAGGCTTCGTTTGCGTAGGTTGATCAGCATTACGGGCGGGTTCCACATGTGCCTATTTGTACGTACTACCGCTGTCAAGGAGGATGTTAGATAACCCGTCGGGTGCGAGAGAGAGCACAACAAGTGGTTGTTGAAGGCGGCGTGAGGTGTGGCAGCTTATTCTCGCTGCCGTCTCACTTCCTTCCGGGGAGAGCATGTCACCGACTACAGCAGTACTACTGGCTGCGAAAAAGTCGATGCGTACTGGGACCACATGGCCGCGGGACCTAGTCCCTCCTGGAAGCACGTGTTTAGTACGTACACTCTCACGTCAACTGTTGCCTTACGATGATACCGATCAAGATTTGGCAGTACAGGCAGTACGGTGTACGTGTCCTGGACGCATGTATTTAGTCTCGCGCCCTTTCATCAGGTTCGCTCCGCTATTATGTAGTGGCCGGCCGGCGGGGGCATGCCGGCGGGGGGGGGAACTGGAATGTCTACCGCTGTAAAACAACCACGTACCTCTATAGACACCAAGAGGGGACGTCTGCCCATGACATGGCCAAATATCAACGCTCTTACTGTTATTTCAAGAACTCAACGAATCCAACTCTCTTCCACCGAGAGATACACACATGAGGTCCGGGATTTGCATATGATTTGACTGGCAATGATTTCATAGCGTTGTGTGATAACTCAATCTGTTGTTTCTATATACATGTTTCGAACCTTGTTGCGAGCTTTGGTTAGCGAGCTTCGAGCTGACTTGAGCACGCCCTTCATCTCTCTGCTGCTATACAGCAGCGTTGTTGTACGTGGTGGTTGTTTTTCGGGCATGGATACAGGGTACTGTAGTCCACCATCTTGAATATTTGCAAGACTCAGTCAAGTATGAACACAAGGGGCTGCCAATGGGCCGATAGCTCCCTCCACCGCTCTGCGTACAGCAGTAGTGTTATAGTGGTCCCTGCATACAACATGTAGTACTGGCCGTAAATAACAATTCCGATCATCCTGCGTAAGGCCGGTGAGAAGGGACAAAAAATTATCGAGTAGTCTTTACAATCTCATCATGTGTGCGGGGTTGCCCTGACTAACCCCGGCCAAACCCATTGCCACTACAATACAACATACATGCGGCCTAATACAGGGACCACCAGAAAAAACGCGCATCATATGTATCGTGTGTTCCCGGCACGCGGGGGCGGAAAGTTGTGCAGATACTCATTTATGGCCCTCGCTAGTTTGCCCCCCGCCCTTGATCTCGCGTCCGCTTTTTGCCTTCCGGCGCGCTGCGCTGCTGCTTTGCGCGTGACTGTAGGTTGGAGCTGGGCTGTTTCCAACCAAGAATCCAGTAAGCGCAAGCCCCGCCTCGTCTTCTGCTAGCCCCGCCTCTTCTTCCTCTACCGGCGACAAAAAATCTCCCGGGGCCGCCGCCGCCGTCAATTCGCCAGCGCAAGGTACGTCAGGAACTATTTGAAACCCCCTGGGATACTACGTTTAGCACCGGGGGGGGGGAGGGGGGGGCGTACTCTTATGTTTTGCATGCCTTAGCGGTTAGATCATTGACCACGCGTCCTCGACAGGACGGAGCACTATTCCCACAGGACCGATCACCGATGGCCAATCGTTCCTTCCTACCTGCATCAGGGTGGGGGGGGGGGTGTACTCATAGGCGTGCATGCCGTAATCCTTACACCATTGACCTCGCATCCCTACAAAGCCGGGACGGAGCACGCCGGGTTCTCACCGGACCAGGCTCTCACATCACCAAGCGCGAAGCGCCGTGAGGTATTCGGCGAGTCGCATGAAGGGTGAGCTGCATCCTGCTAAGGGTGTTCGGCATCTTGTGCTTACTTCCTTGCGTACGGATGACAGCTGCGTATGACGTAATTTATTTTCTGGTGCTTTCACTTCCAGAGACAGTTGTAAGCACTGTGTAACTGCCTCGAGGATGCTTGACCATTTTAACACAACGTGGTGCGATCATCCCCCTTGCGCGGAGTGAGGGTTCTCGACCCCGCACAACATGATCTACTCGACCACCATTATGGTTACCGCAAAAAATAAAAAACAGAGGTAAAAAAAAAAACGGTAACCTGGTTGCCGAGTTCACGAAGTGAATTGGCTTGTTTTGCAACAGGGGGGGTGGGGGGGGGGAGGGGAGGTTAGCACGAGCGAACACCCTTTTTTTATTTCGTCATCCGCCATGAGTCGTGCTTCCCGACCAAAGCAAATTATTGTTGTGCGCACGATCACTGTATCGTATTATTTGCCGAAAGCTTGTACGTAAATTGTGCCGAAGGTTGATTGACGCTCCCTCCGCACATCAAGATAGTTTCCGCGTTGCTCTCCGGCTGGCCCGTGCAATAAAGCGTTTCAACAACCAACAGGCGTTTTTTTCTGACACCCTCCGGGATGTGCAGACCGTGCAAATAGAAGCTTAAGCTTTCCCGACAAAATTTTAACTTGGTACCAAGCAAGAATTTTTTTCTTCTGAGCTGCTGTTGACGTGGACGATAGGCGCCCGCCGTTTTTTCGTTTCGGTTATAGGGGTAAGGGTGACGGTTAGAACCCCCCAACTGCCGTCTTTTGGTTCTCCCTGGCACTCTGTCGGTCTTGTCTATCTCCCTCCGTATCTCTTCGACCTACCCTTGGCAAGATCGTCCCCAAGCGGAAAAAATCGAGATAGACGGTGAGCATTTAGTTATGAAAAACAGAAAAGACAGACGTGAAAAGCATGCACGAGGAGAAGAAAAGTTCGGCCGCTCTCGCGCGCTTCCCCGGTGCCCACCGCAATTTCTTTTTTGTGATTGAACCCACGCACCGACAACAACGCAGGGGGTTCTTCGTCCAGAGAGAGACGGCCGGGAGGAAGGGCCGCAGCGTCGGCCCCAGCACCACCGGCGACGCCGGCGGTAGTCGCCACCGCAACAGCAGCCTCAGCAGCGGCAGCAACAGCGTTCGCAACGCCAGCAGCACCCGCGCCCTTCGCGACACCTGCGGCACCAGCAAAGGGAGGAGGAGTGGTGACGGTTGGGGGAGGGCAACCGGCAGGAGCAGCAGCACCAGCACCAGCAGCACCAGCAGGAGGTTCGGATGATTCTTCTGCGGTTGACAGGATGATGCTCGCGAGCCCGGCGGCGTCAGGAGAGGCGTCGGCGGAGGCGTCGGCGGCAACAGTAGAGGGCACGGCGGTACCTTCTGTAGGAGACGCGGAGGCCGAGTCCCTTGCCCTGGCGAGACAGCTCATGGAAGAGGAGGTGGGAGAGGGAGGGAGGGAGGGAGATAGACAGAGAGGTAGAGAGACAGAGAGAGGGACAGGCGGAGAGAGAGCGAGACACACACAAACAGACAAGCACACACAAGAAAGAGAGATAGGCAGAGACAGACAGACAGACGGACAGACAGACTGACTGACTGACTGACAGACAGACAGATACACAGACAGAGAAACAGACTGACAGAGAGAGACGGAGAGGATTACTTGTCAACAAACGAGCACGGGTAGATTGATCGGGCCAACAAAGAAGATTCTGGGCTTGGGGTGAAATTAGACCTGGCGGGGGTGGGTGGGGGCTTTCATGGATGGACAGAGTGAATGCACTGAGTTGTGAATCCTACCATCAACCCTCACCATTCTTTGGACTTGGCCTACGTTTCCTGTCGAGCCACTTCCATCGTGGGAGTACGTTGTGCTGCGGTTGCCGTGTGTGCGTTTCTATCCTCTGTGTACACATCCTCCTTGGCTCGATCTTCTTAAGCATAAGCGTGCAATGTATTTGTATGTACAACGTGCAAGGGGTGAAAACCGAAAGTCACGACACCCCCACAAACCGTGCGTGCTGTAGCTTCTGCAGCCACGTGTGTTCTTCATGCAGTTCCTGTACATGAGGGTTTGTTGGACTGACACGCGCTTGTTGTGGCCGGGCTTTGGCGATAGGCTAGGGTTTCCGCGGTGTGCTGCCGCAAACATATGACTCTGTGAGGCTGTTGACTCTTTCTGAATCTCCATTTCGTTTGTTTTCGTGTGTACCTTTTTCGGGTATTCCTCGATCCGTTTCTCTACCTGTGAACATAACGAGGAGGAGAGAAGGTACCGTACAATAAATGATGAGGTATTTTTTTTTTTTTACACATGAAGACAACATAACCACACTGGCAACGCTACCTATAATAGGTACACGATCATCACAACTGAAGCAAGCTTGATTCGCAACCACCACCACCACCCAGAAAAAAAATGACCCAATCGAAACCGCGGCACCACGACTACATACAAAACAGGCGATTGCGGCGGCAATCACCAACACCAAGAAAGATGAACCCACCAAAAAAAAAATGGCCGCACCACGATTGTACGTACCACAAAACAAAATCAGGCGATGGCGTCGTATGCGGCGGCCGTGGACAACTTCCGCAGCGCGGCGGCGGCGGCAAGAGCCGCGGGGGGCGGCATGGAGGGCGTGGCGCCCGAGGACATGGCGGCCATGCAGGCCCTCATGGAGGAGGACGAGAACAACCCGGACGCCTTCGCCATGGCGGAGGACGAATCGCTGGACTACGACGTGAGTTTTCGGGAGCAGTGGTAGCGTACAGCGGCCTTGGCACGCGCGAGGTTGTGGTGTAGGTGACACGAGATGCCACACACAAACACCCTTTTCCAAAAGCTCGACTACTGCACCTCCATGACGACGAAGAGGATGCAATATCATCATAATCATGTGACGCGTTTTCGGAAAGCTCTCGACGACACGGGTCCAGCGCCGCCATTTTCGGCACGGCTGCCGCTTTGGAGTAATCGAGCTTTGGAAATCGGTCCGGGTGTGTGGGGGAGGTATGTTGTGTCACGTGCGGGAATTTTGCAGCGAAAGCGACGCTCGGCGAGCGAAGCGATGCTTCGCGGTCTGTTGGTGCTCGTGTCTGTGCTTTGTGTTTGTTTCGTGTGTCTATGTGCGCTTGCGTTAGAGGCGACCGCGTTAGCCGGCCGACCAATGAAATGACGTCGGGCTAGACAGCGCCAAGCTCTGCAAAAAGTTTGGGAGACGGTTGTAAAAGTAGGCCCCCCTCCCGCTGACACAAATACGCTAAAGAACGCTATTGCAGACGTCAGCAGAACGAGAGTCCATGGCAGGGGCGTGGGTGTGGGTGTATTGCACGCTCGGAAAACGATGGCTTTCCCAGCGAGTGTTTTTGCTCGGTGGACTACCGAAATTATCGAGTTGTCCCTATTATAGGTATTCTACAGAGGAGTGAAGGAAGGGTTCAATCTGTTGAGCCCGCCTGCCTGCCTCTCGTTGTTGTTTCGTCGTGCATTCGCGGTGCCCAGCGTTGACAACGCGGCACACCCTAGGCCTGGACCTGTTGTTAAATTGGGCACACCCTACACGACAAACTCATTCTGCATCCGCTCGTCCATTGAGAAGGAGTTACTTTCCCATGTATATCCCCGTGGCCTCTACAGCAGTGGCCATTTTCGCTTCGGGATACATCCGTTTTTTTTTTTTTCCGGGGGGATGGGACCCGCAGCAATCAATCCGTTTGTTTCCCTCCCCTGTCACTCTCCCCGTGCTCCCGGTTGTCCCGCGTGTGTTGTGTTGTCCTTGTACACAAGTGTTTTTTTTATATTTTACTCCCCCTGCCCCCCCCCCCGCCGTGCGCGGCGATTGAATTGGATGAAAAACGGGTGTATATGTATACCGATGTCAGGGCATGCTGGAGCTCGGCAGCGCCATCGGCGACGTTCGCAAGGACAGATGGAGAATGAGGTGTGCGTCGCGTTTCTTTAGTTTTCATTGGCCGCTCAATTTACCCGTGTGTCATGTGTGTTGCGTTTTTTTTATGTGTGTATTTTTTTTTCGCGCCGCATTTTTTTTTTTTCCTAGAAAGGTGTGTACCCCCTTTTTGGGGGTGGGTGGCTTTTGATCACGGAAAGCCTCCGCGTCAGTTGGACCGGTACGGACATTCGAAGGTCCTGAGAGGAGACCGGAACGGTTCTTAGCAACAGCAACAACAACAACAACAACAACCGTGTGTGCACCGGCCTGATGCAAATACGTCAGTCTCAGTGCGATTGAAAACTCAAAACGCTTCTAAGGGCCACAATCTGGGACCCTGTGACCAAGGGTCATTGGGGAGTATACGCTACTCTCTGGATGAAGACAGATACCGTAGCAATAACGGAAGAAAACTGCACGTGATTACTATGGCTGCTTCTACTTGGACGGACGTGTGTGTGTGTGTATGTGTATGTGTGTGTGCTATTCTTTTACTCGACCGCGCTGACCAGCTCCCGCCCGGGGTGTGATCGCGTGTTTCAGCGCCTGCAGTCCCACCACCAGCAGGTGTGTAAAATCGCTGGCCTCGTAGCGGGAGGTGTGTCATGCTGGCTTGTGTTTCGTGTGTCTGGGTTTTGACGTCCACAACCGATTTATGTTTGTTTCCGTTTTCGATCGATCAGTCAGAGCTCCATTTTTGGTGCCATCAATCTGGTGGTTTGGTTTGCATCCACTACAGCAGTGCCGACTCTGTTCCTCCGTGTTCGATCGATCAGTCAGAGCTCGGCTGTTTCGATATCAATTGTTTTAGTTCGAACATCGTCAATAGCTGACCTTAAGTCTTTCGGCCGTTCACCACAGCGTATGCCCTGAAGAGAACTACGAGAACGTCAGAACAAGGTGGCAGGCAGCACCTGCTGATACGAAACGCCCAAATGTTGGGCAGAAACCCTGCAGCTACTGTAGGAGAAAAAATGGCGTTGGAGGACGCCGCCGCCCCGGGAGTAGCGGAGAGGCAAAACGCCGGTAAAGCGGCCGCAGCCCCAACAGATAATGATCCAGATTTGGGATTTTTTCCGCCTTAAATACTGGGACAGTACTACGGTACAAGTCCAGGCCATAACCCCAACAGCTACCCGCCAGCTTTACGGTTATTTCCGTCCCCAACCCATGTACTGCTGTTCGTTTGTTTTGGTCCGCCGTTTTTGCGGGCGATTGGCCACACGTTCCCTCTTCCTTACCCCCCCCCCTCCTGTACGCTTGGCAGGTGTAAGTCGGTGATCGCCGCTCTGCCGCGGGTTTCCTACACAGCCGGCGGTTACTCGGGAGGGGAAGACACCAAGTGAGTTAGTCGTAGCTGTCCGCTTAAAAGCGATCCTTCAGTGTGCATCCTCAACCTCGGCCGTGATTCTCTTTTTTTTCTTTTGTGAGAGCAATGAATATTATCGCCCCCCGCGACTCGCCTGCCGAATACCTCACGGCGCTTCGCGCTTGGTGATGTGAGAGCCTGGGTCCGGGAGACCCGGCGTGCTCCGTCCCGGCCTTGTAGGGATGCGAGGTCAATGGTCTAACGACTACGGTATGCACGACAATGAGCACACACACACACACACACAAACACCCCTCTGATGCGTGGGGGTTTTGATGGCTCCCACCGCCGCTTGAGCTTGAGGACGCGGTCCTCTTGTTGAAGTATACCGCACAATTTTACGGGAATGTCATTGACTCGGGAAAATATTGGGTCGCGTTTTTCGAGATAGCTGTGCTTGTTTCTATGAGAACCTTGTGTGTTGCTTTTCTTGAATTCCGCCCGCAGATGCCCGCCGCCCTGGTTCCCCGTTGCCACCCCAAGGGCAGATGTCTGACGTGCCGGCGTTGCTGCTGTCTATGCTTTTAGGGCATGATACGTACTGCCTGGCATGGTTTCAGGATGTCTCTGAGGTTGTTTTGGCTTTGAGGGCGCTTATGCTTACGAACGCGTTGAATTATCATCCCATTCGGAGACACATGAAGCAGTAGCATGGGTCATCGTGTTCATATAGCGCCACAGTAAGGGGATGCCCTATCTCTCCTCTCTCTCGATCTCGATCTCGAATCGAAATTTCGCCTTTGCCGGATGTGTCAGGCTGAAGGAAAGAACACAATATGACAACTATTACAACTATTAGGAGCAATCAATTCATCCTTACGTATTTCTCTGAACAAAGTGACCACGTTGCTGAGGAGCGATCGTGCGCCCCAACACACGCCCTCCCGCCAAACAACAATTATGCTCATGCAGGTGCCTGGTGTGCCAGTGCGACTACGAGGAAGACGACGAGCTCAGGATTTTGCCTTGCTCCCACACCTTCCACACAGGTGCGCAATGTCGGGCTGACTTGTCCTTGGAGATGAAATAATCTCACACGTTGTTCTGGCCAGGGGTTTGTGGCCGAAGAACGACCCGATGGCAGGAGCAACGGGCGGCCCGGAGGCACGACAGGCCTTCCCCCCCCCCCCCCCCCTCGGGTAGATAGGCTAGGGAAAACATTTTTGAGCCACCTGTGGCGAAGTAGGGAGGAACGATTGACCATCGTCGGTGATCGGTCCTGTGGGAACAATGCTCCGTCCTCTCTCGAGGACACGCGGTCAATGTGTCTAGCCGCTACGGCATGCAAAACATCAGGACGCCCGCCCCCCGCGCGCGTGTTATTTTCTATTTTTTTAGTACAACGTATATGAGTTTGAAGTAAGATATTTCAGGTAGATCAGGCAGAGCAGATCCATTCATAACCTTCCGTCCCGCCGATCGATCGATTGCATGACGCGAACAAACAGAGTGCGTGGACGGGTGGTTGGAGGAGAACGAGGAGTGCCCCACGTGCCGACGCTCGGTTTCGCCGCAGGCGTAAAAAATCCCCCGTGCGCGGCTGGCTTTGTGCGGAAGGAGATCTAAAACACGAGGAGGGCCTCGAGACAGTGCAAGCTCACGATCGCCGATATTGAGAGAGCAGTCGGTAGCGATCCAGCAGAGTTACGTCTGGGTGGATGCACGAGCAGCAAGCTGCGCATGGAGCCCAACAGTGTCTAGACGCCAGGCCGCGGCAGTCTGATTCTTGAGCGGCTGTGTTGAGTCAGTCATGCGGGGGGGGAGAGTGGGTGTACATCAGTGCCGCTCTCCAGGAATGCTGCTGCGGTGGCATCAACGCTCTGTGGCACGTTCGTTTTGCAGAATATGCTACATCTACACGAGGCCCATTCCAAGAGCATCGAAGTTCGCGTTTTTTTCCTCGCTCTCTCGGCGTGGTGGGGGGAGTCATGATTCTTTCGGACGCTCACCTAGTAATACAAGTTGGTTTATTGGCGTAGCAAGTACTTTCAGGTTTTCCATTGAACATTACCCCGATGCACGCGCACGGTCTCTCAATCAAGTGTTTCGAGTCGTCGAATGTGCCGGATATTTGTCCTACATTTTGCCACTGCTGTTGTACAGTCGAACTATACCCCCCCCCCCCCTCTCTCTTTTGTTGCACGCACACGTCGTTTCATTTTTATATCTGCGGTCACCGGGCTGCATACAACAGTTTTCGTTTTCTGTCATGTAGCTTTTCTTGCGCGTGTGTACCTCGTATCTATGTAACTCCTGGCAGGACCGCTAGGCGGGAAGGTTAGTAACCGTTTCTCTGTGTACATTGGGTTTTGATCCATTCGCCTACAGCAGCAATACCACGGTGAAGTGTCGTTTGTGTGGAAAATGCGAGAGAAGAGTCGTTCGTTACATAGTCTACAGAGAACGTCCGTTTGTCACACAGCGGGGGTGTCTCTCCCCGTTGGATTCGTTCATTCTGAACGGGTGTTGATAGTGGGTGTTGATAGTGGATGGTATGATATAATGCACGAGCTGCTGGTGGCGAGATGGTGATGATTGTAACGGGTGCATGTGTGCTTTTCGCGTGGCTTCCTGCACTCGATTGGTTGGGTGTGTACCTGTATTGAGATCCGAGCGGTCTAGATTCATTCCGACAGGATCGTAACCTCGCACCAAACATTTGTGAAAGTAGTTAACAATAATTAACATGTACTCTACGGTGACTCCAGCAGTCCATGACGTATGTATGTGCGTGTCTCGCAATCTTCTCTTCTGGTTGCATGCTTTGTTTTGATGGGAAACAATGTTTTCGCTACAGACAAGCCTGCGATGGTTTCAATTGGTCTTTCTTGTCGTTGGTGTTCCCGAACTCCGATCGACGACGATTGATCGGGTCGTATTGTATGGTTTTCTCTTCGCTCACGCGCGATGGAAGTCGTTGCCACCGCAGGTGGATATAGGACGTCGTGGTTATTGGTTGGCATGCTATTATGCTAGCCCCCCTCTCTGTCTGGTGACTGGAAATGATGGTGTGTGTCTTCAGAGCGTCTCGTGTGGAGGAAGTGCCGTGACCGACGTGACACAAGATATCGCACCCCCCGGATCGATTTTAAAAGCTCGATTACGCCACCACGAAAACATACAACAACGAAACCAGACGTTTTCGGAAAGCTCTCGACGAGACAGACGGCTTCAACGCCCCCGTTTTCGGCGCTGTGACTCTTCCTGCTGTTGCGAAATCGAGCTTTGAAAATCGGTCCAGGGGGGGTATGATCTTGTGTCATGTCCGTTACGGCAGTACAACCTAAAAGCTGCACCCGACGTGCGAGTTGGTCTTTCTCCGGGTTCAAAAAAACCAGACGTCCTCATACCGAGGATGCATCATACTTTGTCTCTTGGCCATTCATCAAGTGAACCAATCTCGAAGGGACAATTTGCGTTGGTTGCCCCGAGGTAGTCTATTGGTCGTTTGCGGGCGATCTAAAAGGTGGGATTGCTCAGAAGATTTCGAGGCCCTACATAGTGCGCGAACGCGAGCTTTCACCAAACAAGCGTGCCAATCGAGAATCTTGCGCGTTGCTCACCCCCTCTAATCTCGAACGGTTATCTTCCAGTGATTATACGTACACAAACAAGTATGTTTTCAGGAACTTTCCCTAAAGGAAAACATACCCAGGCTCCCTGACGGAGCCCCCCTTTTCTCTCCTCCTCTTTTTTCTCCGCCGTGATGACGTGATGAGCACGAACGATTGATTGCAAAGACGCCAAGAAAAGTGCCGGTCGCTGCCATCGATAATCTTAATCTTTACCCCGATACCCACCTACATTACAGAGTAGGGCAAACGAGCGGGCACTACACGCTTTTTCGAGTGTGGGTCAACCAACGAAAGCCCTCTCCAACTCACTACGCGCTCGCTCCACGCATGGCTCAACGCCAACTGCGAACGACACGAGAACAGGTGTGTCGGTAGCACGCAGATGCAAGCTGACCCCTACCAAGCCAGAATCGACACATACAGTAGAGGTCCCTGTTTAGCCCTGTTCAGCCGGTAGCATGTGCCCAGAACATCTACCGCCGCAATATACTTGTGTACGGGACCGGTACTATGAGAATGACTTGGAAATTCGGTGTGTGCCCGCCGAAAACACCGGCACTATAACCGGGCACCGGCACTAAACAGGGACCTCTGCTCTACCCCAAAGTAAACCCAGGCACGCACAAGGCCAGGCCAAGCAACTCCAACAAATGTCAACCCCTCTTCGATGTGGCAGCGCAAGCTTTCACCATATTCCCCCGGTGGAGCTAGCTTCTTCCCTTCGTTTCTTCGTCTCCACCGGCAGCTGAAGGGGGCTCATTACGTGAGGTACGGGGGGGGCTTAGAAGAAGGCGAACTTGATGACCAGCGTGAATATCACTTGGAGCACCCTGGGGAGGCGCATCGTGAGGAAGGGGGCAAAAAGGAACGGGGGTCACACGAGGTCATGGCATCATATCGAAGCCTGTTCGATTCAAACAGGAAGAAAAGTCTTCGTGTTATTGTGAGAGAATTCACGTCTCAAAAGGCTGGTACCAGGTACCATTTTCGCGTGGAAACCAAGCAAGACTGGCTTTCTCTATTTCTTTTTTGCGTAAGCAGGAAGAAACGTGCCACATTTTTATAGTAAAGGCAAGAGCAGCGGTCAGCCGCTGTGTGGCACAGCAGTCCAAGGGCCGCCGCGTAACCGCCTATTGTAGCGATCCGACTTCTTGCTTTGTCCCGCCCATTAAATTTTAGATCGTTTCCTTACCGCGTGAATGGTTTGGGCTGTTCGCCTCAGAAACATCACGGACTACGATGAGTGAGTGCCGTTTCTCTCAAAAAGAGAAGAAAACAAGGTCTGGCGTGATGACGCATGCATACTCAACACGCAATACCAGTACTCGGAGAGGTACGCCGTAGAAGTGTTGCCAAAAATAGTGCCGGTTGAAAAAAAAGAATAGTGCGCGGTATAGTGCCGATGAAAATCGCGTGGCACATCAGACAGAATCACCAAGTTGTTTTTTATGCGATGAATCGTACCGGTCATGCGGAATTTTCGGCGGGACAACTACCGGCACTACTGAGGACCGCTACTGTAACCGACCCCCAGGGTCCCAGGCACGATCGAATCGTCGCCAAAAACGCCACAAATAAATAACGACACGGCCGTTCTACGCAGGTTAAACACCGGCGAAAGACACAAGAAGGAGGGAGAGAGAGACACTCTGGCTGTATGCACAATGTTTGCGTGCTGGCCGGGTCGTAATGCACGAGGCTGCCAAAAACATTAACGTTTCGGGTACTGTGGAAGCACGCCAGTACATGCCATCGTGACGATCGAGACGACAGGCCAACGACAAACAAAAAGAAAGATAAAAAGATTAACGCTAACCTTGCCATCACTGGCAACGCCACCGCCACGAAACGACTGGCCAGCGATGACGACGAAAAAGAAGAAAAAACAAACGACAATAAAAAAGAAACAAACGCAAGACAAGCCCAGTTTCCGGCCGGTTTCCCTCCACTCACTGAAAATACTTCAGCACATCCCATTCGACTATTTATTGCGGTTATATCTCGAACGGGTAGTCGTTCTGTCAAGTTATGTATACTGTCCAAAAAAGAAACACACATTCACCCTACATAACCTTACCATCGCTGCCGACGCCACCGCCATGAAACGACTGGCCAGCGACGACAACGACAAAAAAAAAATACAAAAGAAAAAGAAATACACAACTCACCCTAACCCCGCCATCACCGGCGACGCCATCGCCACGTTCCTCTCCAGCAAAACCGGAGTCAGGGCTCGGAGCAGGAACACCACCGACAGGGTCCCCGCGGCGGACAGGGCCACCAGCGTCATGTAGGGCACAGGCAGCGCGCACACGAGTATCGCGGGTAGGTACGGCCCCAACGAGTACCCGTACATGCACCCCAGCTGCAAAAAAAAAAAAAAACGACAGAAAAAAAAAATGCAGCAAGGACAACAACGACGAGACGGAAGAGGGGGGGGGGGGCGTCGTTGCTACTCGGTTGTTGAACACAAAAAGTGATGGTGTTGACAAAATTGGGGAGGGTCTGTGTGGGGGTTTCGTGAAGCACTGTCACCGCGAACGTGGGGGGGAGGGGGCACCCAAGGGGAAGAAGAAGGCCTTACAGATAAGTATCCGATTTATGACCAAAGAAGACGGCCGCACGCGTGTGTGGGTGTGCATGAAAAGCGGAAATTGTTGATAACGAGGATGGTTCGCCTTGGACTGGATGGGACGGAGAGAGAGGGCTCAAAAACCCGCGGCAGCAACCGCGGTGTAGCAACTTTCAACCCAAGAATGTTGCCCCCCGCCATCCCCCCCGACCCCACCCCCGCATCGCCTTCGAAAACACGCCGTGCTTGTTCTTTGTCTCTAGAACTTTGTTTGCACAACAGGAAAAATACGATCTAATGGAGGCACGCCGCGACAGTGCCTCCAGGCGGCACGAAAACCCTCGTGTATCATGTTCGAAAGCGTGGCTAAGTCCC